GAGAATTAAATGAGTCAATATATGTAAGCCCTATCGTGGCACACAAATGTGTTATGTAATATCCATTTGGCAGACTGAAGAACAGTATGATTGTAATTCATTCACCATGAAAATTACTTGCACGCTGGCTCAGGCCTATAATCATAGCACTTTGGGAGGCCAAGGTGGACGGACCACCTGAGGTTGGGAGTTTGAGATCAGCCTGACCAACATGGAGAAACCCCATCTCTACTAAAAATACAAAATTAGCCAGGCATGGTGGTGCATTCCTGTAATCCCAGCTACTCCAGAAGCTGAGGCAGAATTGCTTGAACTCGCGAGGCAGAGGGTGCGGTGAGCTGAGATCACACCATTGCACTCCAGGCTCCAGGCTGGGCAACAAGAGTGAAACTCTGTCTCAGAAAAAAAAAAAAAATTAGCTGGAATTAAATATTCCCATCAGCTGATTTAATTTCTAAAAATATGAAGGGGCAGTGTGATGTGCCATGGAGCATCCACAAACTGCCATTTCAGGCCAGCCGACCTTAGAAAGCCACTGAAGAGAGTTGTTTTTAATGGTGTTTTGGCATCCAGCTTCCCACACCTCAAGTACTTGGAGTGGAATTGTTAATCTCACATTGCAGTACAGTGAAAATAGTGGGATGGAAATCAAGTTAGAAAATTGAGCTAGCTATTATTTCTTTGCTTGCCTCAGAGTTGACAAGATACCATAAGAGACTGTACATGGAAGCCTCTCAGATCATAAATGGCTAAATTTATTAACATAAAAAATATGTTGTGGATACTGACGTGATGGCTAATCTGTCAACTTGACTGGGCTAAGGGATGCCCTGATAGCTGCTCAAACATCATTTCTAGGTGATCTGTGACAGTGTTTCAAGAGACTAGCATTTAAATCAGTAGACTGAATAAATAAGACTGCCTTCACCCATGTGGGTGGGCATCATCTAATCCACTGAAGGCCTGAACATAAAAGGGGAGGAAGGGTGAACTGTTGGGACATTCATTTTGTGCCCCTAGACATTGGTGCTCCTGGGCCTCAGACCTTCAGACTAGAACTTACATTATTGCCTCTCCTGATTCTCAAGCCTTTGGGTTTGGAACTAAACTGGCTTTCCTGGGCCTTCAGCCTGCAGAAGACAGATTGTGGGACTTCACTTCCATTTTGCTGAGCCAATTTCTCATAATCTCTGCATATCCTATTGGTTCTGTTTTTTTTTATTATTGTTTGTTTTTGTTTTTATAGAACTAATACAGCCTACTATTTATGTATAAGACCCCTGGGTGCGGGGAAGGGGAAAGACCCCTGGGAATGCAAAGATGAACAAAATTAACTTTCTGCCCTCAAGGAATGTTGGAGTCTCCTGCGGCAGACAATTTCAAAACACTATATTAAGTCTTAATATGGAATAAGAATAGGGTATTGTAAATACACAAAAGTAGGAAGGGCTCTCTGATCTCTAAAAAACAATTATATATTGTGAATGAAACGGACTCTAATTTTTCAGTGTATACTCAATCTTTCTCATCTTTCCATAATTTTCTTCAGTAAACTTATTACCACCAAACATAGTACACATTTGTTTATTACCTTATTACCCATCTCTCCCAACTAGAAAATAAATTTATTATTACACTGGGCTGTCTTTGTTGTCAGCTGTATCCCAGCAACTGGTGTAATACCTGGCACTGGCATATACAAGACATTCAAACACTTGTCAAATGAATAAAAGTGCAAATTCGGGAGGTAGGGGGACACACAACTACACAGAAGTTAGAGGAGAACAGTTTGCAAGGGGGCTAGGAAATGAGTAAGAAGACCTCTATGAGTTGAGGTGGCAAGCAGAGGCCAGATCACAAAAGCCCTTACTGCTAGGCCTTGTAGTTTGAATTTTATCATGAGGGTAGGAAAATGGCATCAGATATATGTTTTAAGAGATCAGTATTTTTTTTTCACACCATGTGAAAACAGAAGATGCTATCTAGAGTGGTCCCTCACCAGAAAATCTTTCCAGCCTTCACAATGTGAGCAGTAAATTTGTTGTTTATTTAAAACAACAAAAACACCATTCTGGTACTCTGGTTTGGAAGATTCCTGTTTCAAAAATGGCGGATTAAGCCCCATAATTATAGGCTGTTTGCCACAAAACTCCATTAAAGTGACATAATAAATAGAAACAAATCCATAGCGGTGGGAATTCTGAGGCATTTCTAAGAGCTACAAAGTACATGGAATCAGAATGATACAGAAACCAAAACTGCCAATTCTTATATAAAGTCACTGTTCTAAAAAGTACTACCAGGGCAGTGGCTCTTAACTTTTGGAGGGGATGGTAGACATAAACACCTTTGGAGAATATAATGTAATCTACAAAACATTTTATCAGAATAATAAAATTTTGGGTACCCAATTTTCCCTCACATTTTGGGTATACCATGTCATCTGGAGCTCCCAACCCCTGAAATCTAAACAACTGGCTTGAAACCTGTGACAGTTCTAGTCAGTAAAAGTCTAAAGCCCTTCTCATGATTTTTACTAATTCACAAGAATTACACCCTCCTGCACCTAGAGTTCAAGCCACCTTTCATGCTCTTTGCATTGTATAATACTGCAATGACCAGACAACAATATGGCAAGGAACTCACAGATTAGGCAAGGAAAATGAAGCAAAAACTCAGAAAACTGAATGCCCGTGCCAGGCAGTATGCTAAATCCTAGGGATACTGCAGTGAGCAAGGTAAATATGGTTCCTTGGCCTCAGAACGATAGTCCACAACAGAGTGAGATAAGCCTTAATTGATTATCAGTGCCTAGAAGTAGAGAGTCCTATAAAACAGCGGTCTCCCAACTTTTCTGGTACCAGGGACCGGTTTCAAGGAAGACAATTTTTCCAAGGGAGTTGGGGAGGGACAGTTGGTTTCAGTATGATTCAAGCTCATTACATTTATCATTAGATTCTCATAAGGAGTGAGCAACCTAGATCCCTTGCATTCCGAGTTGACAATAGGGTTTGAGCTTATATAATAAGCTAATGCCACAGCTGATCTGACAGAAGCTCAGGTGGTACTGCTTGCTGGCCCACCAATCACCTCCTGCTGTGCCACCTGGTTCCTAACAGGCCGCAGACCATGTACCAGGGTTGGGGACCCCTGTTCTAAGAGGAATAACCAAATGTTGCCCAATCTGCAAGATCAAATGTTTCCTCAATCTAACTTTCAGCCAGAAAGGCTGAAAGACAAAAAGAAGTTAGCAAGGCCGGGCCCAGTGGCTCACAGCTGTAGCCTCTATTTCCTGTACTTTGAGATCCCGAGACAGGCCAGAAGTTCGAGATCAGCCTGGCCAACAGAGTGAAACTCCATCTCTACTAAAAATACAAAAATTAGCCGGGCGTGGTGACTGTAGTCCCAGCTACTTGGGAGGGTGAGGCAGGAGAATCCCTTGAATCCAGGAGGTGGAGATTGCAGTGAGCTGAGATCACACCACCACACTCCAGCTTGGGTGACAGAGCTAGACTACGTCCTGGGGGGGAAGTTAGGTAGGTTGCCCAGGGAATGAGGAAGTATAAGTTGTGAAGGTGATGACAAGATGAGTCTGAAGAGCAGGCCATTCAATAAAATACGTACGATAAGGCCGGACGCGGTGACTCACGCCTGTAATCCCAGCACTTTGGGAGGCCGAGGCGAGCGGATCACGAAGTCAAGAGATCGAGACCATCCTGACCAACATGGTGAAACCCCATCTCTACTAAAAATACAAAAAAATTAGCTGGGCGTGGTGGCGCGCACCTGTAGTCCCAGCTACTCGGGAGGCTGAGGCAGAATTGCTTGAACTCAGGAGGCAGAGGTTGCAGTGAGCCGAGGTCACGCCACTGCACTCCAGCCTAGCGCCTGGTGACAGAGAGATTCTGTCTCAANAAAAAAAAAAAAAAAAAAAAAAAAAAAAAAAAAAAAAAAAAAAAAAACGATAAAATTCACATCAAGTGAATCACTTACATAGTCTAGGTGTGGTGGCTCATGCTCATAATCCCGACACTTGTGGAGAATGTGGTGGGAGGACTGCTTGAGCCCAGAAGTTCCGGACCAGACTGGGCAACATAGCAAGATTACCATCTCTTAAAAAATAAAAATAAAAAGTTACTCACATCAAGTGTACCCAATAGATATCCATTCCCTTCGTACATTTGAACACATCGTGATATTAATGTCTTAAGCAAACCCTAATCTCCTTGTCTATGAGGTTGCTTGTGGGCTTACTATGTGCCAGATGCATGTATGTATTATTTTACATCTTTAGAACAAATATAGTATCCCTATTTCACAGTCGGGAAAACAGAAGCGAAGTAACTTGTTTATTGTCCGGCGTCTAGCGAGTCGCAGAGCCAGGAACTGAACCCGCCCATTTTCACCCCATACTTCCAGCTTATTGCCGACAGCTCCCGAACTGGAGCCAGAGAGCCAAAGGGTTTCACCAAACGTGCTTTGTAATGGGAGATTCTTGCCTTCTTACCTTTTCTCACGTTTGCTTTTCTGCCAGAATGTCCTCCCCCACTTTCCCCAGAACCCAAGTTCTCCTAATCATCTTTCAAAATCCCTTTCCCTCAACCACTGATGAGCCGTGCCTATTTCTCCTTCAAATAACTCCCTACGGTTTCTAGCTGGTAGTCTTCTATTTACCACCTCATAGCCTTTTTATTTACATCCTACAAACGATCGTCCAGCCCCGTGCCGTGGGACCAGGACGCTGCCTCGACCATGGCGGTCTCTTGGAAACATGCTGATTTGAATCGAAACTGGTGGCCGTTTCCCAACCCCGTCTAGCAGTCCGACGCCTCTTTTCTCCAAGCCAACTTCAGGTGAGCTGTATCAACTCTATCCGTGCAAATTTCTTGCTACGAGAGCATATTATAATCTCTGATGCTGCCTCGGGGCTGAAGACCACACAACCCCGCGACGCTTAGCAAACACCGGCTTCCTCCTCCACTTGGCTGCCTAGGAGATCCTCTTCCGGGGCAGAGGTCGCCCCGCCCCTCCCCTCGTCTCCTCCAAGATGGCGAGCGGCGGCAGCGGGGGGGTTTCAGTGCCTGCGCTGTGGAGTGAAGTGAACCGGTATGGCCAGAACGGCGACTTCACGCGCGCTCTCAAGACCGTCAATAAGAGTAAGTGTCGGGGTGGGCACCAGGGCGGGCCCAGGCCGGCGGGAGGATGCGGCCTGTTTCCGGCACGCGCGACCGCCTCCGGTAGGCTCGGGAAGGGGAGACCCCCAAGATTCCCCCCAGTCAGCGCCTGGTTCGGGTCCGAACGCCCGGCAGATGCAGGTCGCACCCCTTCGCTCCACCAGGTCATCCTGGGGTCCCTGGTTGCTTAGAGCCACGTGTACTTCCCATTTTAGCCCCCACGGGAAGCAAGGGAGGGTTTTAAAGAGACCGCAGCTCCCGGGGCCCATTTGAAACTGTTTTCTTATTTGACTCCTTCTCTTCTGCTTTATTTCACAAATATTCCACATTGCTGCTTTTTCTTCTTCATCTTAAGCGCAGTGATCCAGACTGTATTGCTGAGGGAGCTTGTTTTCTTTGGCCGCTGAAGGGGCAGGAACCTGCTTGGGACACGTAGTTTAGAAGCTGTTGCTGACAAGGTGGAAGCTGTATGGATTCCACGGGGCGAGAGGAAAGGGCTGAATCTGGATGTCAAGCCTGTCACTCCCATAGATAGAATCTCTTCAGTGTTATTAAGCTAGGAAATAAGTGTGTGTAAGCACCAACACTTGAAATAATGTCGGAAGAAAAGTTGGCCTGTTTTTTGTTTTTGTTTTTTTTTGTCCCTGTAAGGGATAATTTCAGGTTTTGCTGCCTTTGGTGTGAGGTTCAATTCATCATACTCTTTTATTCTTTCTACATACCTGGAACATGTCCATGCTACTTAATGTTCTCGGCGGTGCGCAGTTCTTCTCTACTGAAGATACAGCCTGTGCATGTTAGATTTGGAAATGTAACTACCAAGGCAGGGCCTAGCTGTTCAGAGTAGCAGTAACAAAAAAGGTATGTCAGTAACATACAAACCTATCTAAGTAATTTTCAACACTCTCGTGCTGGGTTAACGTGAACAGTAGTGATTGTGCCCACAGTGCACTTCTGGTGATTTCAGACATTTAGAAAAATAGCTACGAATTAGTGTTATTTGATCCCTAAATTTCTTTGAATTAACTCTAACCTTCCAACCAGTACGATATGCTTAGTAGTAGTGTAGTATTTTGCAGGAATTCTTTAATCAGCAAAGGTTGTCAACCTTGCTCACCAGTGTGTCTTCTTAATTGGTAGAAGTTCTTCTGATTCTTTGAGAATTGGACTTCTGTAGTTGCACAGGAGCAAGAGTCACTATGATCCTGGTCATTTTAACACTGAACAGCTGTTAGCATTGAAACTTGCCACCTGAGTTCTTCCTTATACTTCTCTTTGGTTGTCTTCGGTGAAAAGAGAATATTTTAATGATTTTTGGAAACGTTGCCATCAAGATAAATTGCCTTTGCATTATACTTTATAATTTATTTTTCCAAAATATTCTCATTTCATGTTGTCAATAACCTTATTAAATAGGTAATACTTTTGTAATCATTTCGTAACTCAGAAAACTGAGATTTGGCTGTTAAGTGTTATGTCCAAGACCCCCAGGCAAATTTTGGTGGCAGGCTTGTACCAAACCTACCTCATTTGCTTCTGAATTCTACCTGAACTTTTTCTCTGTGAAGTAATGAAATATGTAGGATGTAGCTTGCATTTCAAGATGAAAAATCTGGAGACATTGCTTCTTCTTTATTTCACTGCACTTTCTTGATACATGCGTATTGGGAATCTTTATCTCATTGAAAATTTAATCTATAACTCTGCTTATTGTCACTTCTTAAGTTAAAAGTGAAGATTAGTTGTTTTTTGGGTTTTGTTTTGTATTGTTTCCTGTTTTTTCTGGTTGTTTTGACCAATTATTTCTGTTGCAGCAAAATTAGAAATTTAGCTTTCAGAGATACAGGGTGGGAAAATTTAGTAAAAATGTGAAAAGGAAATGGATTTAAAAATGACTTTCCTAAAATTGTTCTCTAGTATTACAGAGCAACAAAGATGATGTAACTGCCCTGCATTGTAAAGTGGTATGCCTTATCCAGAATGGAAGTTTCAAGGAAGCCTTGAATGTCATCAATACTCACACCAAAGTGTTAGCCAA